CGGTAGGGCCCCAGGTTGTGGCAGCTTCCTGCCATATGCGCTGCACTGTGCCCTGGACAGGCGTGCTGTCAAGTAGATCAGTTTCTTTGTTACTAAAGCGCGGCCTGTCGCTTTCAGGAGGATGCGTGCACGAAAGCCTGGAACAAGCAGATATTGACGTTGGTAGGGTTGAACGCGAGGGGTAGGCAGGGCGTGTCCTGTGCTGCCGGGCTTCACCCCTTTCTCTTCTGTGCCTGTGCCCCACTCGAACTTGCCGCCGCTGGCTGCTTCGAGCGAGCGGCCAAGGTCGATGTACTTGCTGACATCAACCGTTTCCCTTGTCGGATACTGAGGGTCCAGGATTGGCTTTGCTTCAGGTCCCCACAAAAGCAAAAAAATGCTAGCATGCTTGCGTAGTCGCTCCTGGATCTTGCCATTATTGCCCACACCGATGAAGTGGTCCACCGAACAAAAAAGGTGCTGGTGAGAATGAACGAGCTCCTCGAAGGCATTTGAAACGAGGGAATAGGCTGGGGACTTGCCGGCGTTGGGGTCACCGACTGGCGCAGCCCACCAGCGAGCCTTGCAAGCAAACTTGGAGGAGCGATCAAAATACAAAGGGATGGCCAAGTCCTTGCGTTGACAAGATGCCAGGCTGCCAGACACGCTTGAAACAGGTCGAATACATAGAGGCATGGCCACCCGCAGCCCCGGTGCAAGTACTCGCACATCACGGCCAGGGGCAGGGTCGTGGTGAAGCCAAGACAGGTTGGCAAGCGGGCTGCATCTTCGATGCTGAGATCCAGCTGGCGCATTGCCTCCCTGCTGCGAGGAGAATCGGAAATAACCTCGGAAAGAGTGTGCTCCCGTGTGTACTGGGTGCACATGGGGAGTTGTGACCAGAAAGCGTCTGCCTGCAGCGATGCGCCATTGCTGTTGGCGAGAACACGGAAATAGTGTTCGACGTCGGCATAGAAGGGTCTTGAAGACACTTCTCGTAGAACCACTGGGCATTGTCGGGTCGAGTCTTCATTGCGCCTGTCAGGAAGCGGCTCACAGGCTGATCGCTCATTTGCCCTAGGGTACGTGGGGTGACTGGGACCAATTGGATGACTGGAGCACTTGGGGGGTTTGATGGCTATGTAGTCCAGCACCTGCAAGAACTGGCTGTTCTGCTGGCCATAGGCTCCCAGCAAGAGATCCTGCATGTCTCCAGGAATGTATCCGTGAGGATCCATGGAGGCCTGCGCGGCTTGCCGCAGGCTTATCCTGCCTGGTGGAAACATGGCCGCGAGGTTGGACAGGTCTTGCGGCTGTGTTGCTTGCAAGAACGCAAGAGCTGCCTCAAAGTGATAACTGATCTCCGGATCGGCATACCAGACATTCACTTCTGCTTCAGTCAGCATGCCAGCAGCGCCACGCAGAAGAGGCATGTAGAGCCAGGAGCGCGCGCGCGTATCTTCAAAGGACCTCGGGCACGGGTGGAAGGTGGCCGCATGCACAGGCAGCGGGAGAGGGACTGGCGACGGTAGCTTGGCGCCTACCCTGCTCAAGTGTATTCAAGTTCTGCCGCCAGTGCTGGGGAGCAGGCTGAACATCAAGGGGTCGGAGAAATGCACTTGCAGGAGTTGGGTTCCTAGAAAAAACCAAAAAATCCTAGAAAAATAGACTACCATTTAATTGCCGGCTTAATTAAATAAAAGAAAAAGAAGAAAAAGTATTGGTGAAGCTTAAATGATTTAACATGTTTAAATTATTTAGTTGGGGACAGGAATTAAATCCTGGGGAGAGCCTCCGGACCCCTCCGGACCCCCTCCCCAATATTTAAATTATGTAAACTATTTAAATTGTTTAATTCCCGGCCCCAATCACATATTTTAAATAATTAAAACAATTTAAGCTTCCCCAATATTTACATTATTTGTTTAAATTATGTAAATTATTAAATTCTCGGCTCCAACTAAATAAATAGAATAATTTAAATAATCTATATCCTGGGGAGGGCCTCCGGGCCCCCTCCGGATTAAATAATTTAAATAGTTTAAGTTTCCCCAATATTTAAAATTTACTGAAATAATTTAGATTGTTCAATTCTCCAAACAAATTATTTAGTTCGGGCCGGGAAACACCCAGAGAACCCACATGGCATACAATCGCCATCTGCCTGTATTTGCTACATACTATAGGAGTAAACGCCCGTGGTCTCAGCTGGCGATAGTACCCCATTTAAGCCGCACACGGACTCCGGGGGGGGGGTGTGCAGGGGTGAGCAGGGGGCGGTGAAAGAGGTGAGGGGGGGTGTTTCAAACATATTTCAAATCTCGGGGTGCATTTGATATGTGAAACAATTGAAATGTTTGAAATGTGGCCGAATTTCAAACGTTTCAAGTGTTTCAAACATTTCAATCATTTAAAAAATTTGGAATGAAGGGGGTTTGGGGGAGGTGGTGGGACAAGGATAAGAGGGAAGGAGCATTGAGGTGATTTCAAACAATTATTGGAAACGATTGGATTTTTTGAAGAAATGTGGCCGATTTCAAGCATTTCAAGCATTTCAAACCTCGGGGTACCTTTGGCGTTTGACATGCTTGAATTAATTGAAATATTTCAATCATTTCAGGCATTTCAAACGATTGAAATAGTTGAAATGGATTCGAAATAATTGGAATAATTGAAATCGGGCTGGTTTCAAACATTTCAAATCTCGGGGTGCATTTGATGTTTGCTGTGGTTGATTTCAAATATTTCAAACATTTCAAATCTCGGGGTGCGTTTGATCATTGAAATAATTAAAAGCTTTGAAATGCGGCCGATTTCAAACATTTCAAGCATGTCAAACCTCGGGGTGCAGTTGGTGTTTGAAATGCTTGCATTTATTGAAATATTTCAAAGATTTCAAATGATTGAAATAGTTGAAATGAGGGGGGTTTGGGGTTGTGGTGGGATAGGGATAATGGGGAAGGAGAATTGAGGGGATTCCAAATAATTGAAACATTTGAAATCGGGCTGGTTTCAAAGAATACAAATCTTGGGGTGCATTTGATGTTTGCAATGTTTGAAATTATTGAATGAAATGTGGTTGATTTCAATAATTTTGAATTTTTCAATTCTCGGAGTGCATTTGATGTTTGAAACAACTGAAATAATTGAAATGTCGCCGATTTCCAAATATTACAAGTGTTTCAAACATTACAAAGAATATTTGAAACGAGGGGGGTTTGGGGTTGCGCTGGGACAAGGATAAGGATGAAGGAGAATCGAGGGGATTTCACATAGTTAAAAAAAGTTTTAAAAGCTTGAAATCGGGCTGATTTCAAATATGTCAGAAATTTCAATCTCGGGGGACAGGATGAGTACGTTCTACCACTGCTGCACGCCGAGAGTCTGCAGGTGGGCTACTGCACGGGCACAAAGATGGACACGCGTCTGAGTTTGGGTAAGGAGCACGCCAATGGGATCCATGCAATGAAGTCGGGCAAGGAGTTGTGAACTAGTCTCATGCGACATGTGGGCCGGGCTCCTACCTACTGTGCGACGTTCTTTGAGGAGTTGACCTCTGAGTTTGGTAGCGCTAACTTTATCTAGGCCCACGGAGGTGATCCCAAATTTTGCAATGGACCACACACAACTCTTCCACAAAGTCACCTGTCTTTGAACAGGTATTAGCTGGTTGCGTAGAAAGGGGCAGTCGGCTGACGGCAGTCCAGATTTGGCTTAAGCGGCGTTGAACCGTGTCCCTTGCTCGCAATGGTCGGTCACCCTGCCACAAGTCAATGCTGTCTACAGGAACATTTGTCGTCTCCTTGATCTGCCCGGGGTCTGCCGAATTGCAATACCCCATCAAGACCACAGTTATGACGGTCACGCTTCGAGGCCTGTCAAAGGATTCTCGGACTGGGACCAAGTCTGCAGCCGGCACAGCAAGGGGATCTGCACTGATGCCAAGCAGATCGATCGGACCACCACAGACACGGCCAATGCTGGAGGCAAGACGGGCTTCAAGTCATAGCCGCAGTAGAAGTATTCTTCCGTCGCTTCTTCCTCCCTCGCAGACTCCTGCGCAGCATCATGAGATGTTGGGGACGATGGAGCCAATTGCGTCGTGACAGGCGGATTTGTCCTCGTCACATGTGATCCAGGCGGCAAGAGCCTTCCATCCATTGGCATCTGCGGTTGCTGTGGCCAACCTGTCTCCAAGCTGCCAGCCCCCCACGTTGGCGGGAGGGACATTGTCACACACAGTGGTTCCGTCTTGTGGCACGAATGCCGGGCAGCATGAGGCATAGAGCTAAAGCCAAAGTGGCTATGTAGACATATCTATATATACATATAGACTTACATACATAGAGATCTACAGAGCACAGCAAACCAGGAAGGAAAGCCCAGACGAAGATGAAGATTTGCACTGATGGGCTGTCCCTGATTTTAAATCAGACTCTTACAAACCTCGAACTCCGAGGATGGAGCCTTGGACTGATGGGGCGCCCCTCATTTCAAAACAGAACTCTTACAGACCTCGAACTCCGAGGATGGAGCCTTGGACTGATGGGACGCCCCTCATTTTAAAACAGAACTCTGACAGACCTTGAACTCCGAGGACGCAGCCTTGGACTGATGGGACGCCCCTCATTTTTAAATCAGAGCGCTTACAGCCGAGGATGGAGCCTTGGCCTGATGAGGCGCCCCTGATTCTTAAATCAGAACTCCTACAGACTGCGAACTCCGAGGATGGAGCCTTGGACTGACGGGGCGTTGACCTCCGAGGACGGAGGCTTGGACTCCGGGGGCGCCCCTAATTTTTAAATCAGAACTCGTACAAAGCTTGAGCCCTTGGACAGATGGGGCGCCCCTGGTTTCAATATCAGAACTGGGTTTCTCGAGTTTAGCGGATTTTTTCCGGCGTGCTGGCTGTATCCGTGCTGGCTGTATCGGGCCTATCGGATTGATCGGGTTTATCGGGCTTGGCGGGTTTATCGGGTTTAGGAGAGCGTGGTCGCTATTTCCGCACGCAATGGATGTTTCTACTGCAGAATTACAAAAGCCCAGATTCTGCCAGGGCACCTTGACGCCCCAAACGTCTTCCGCAGATGCGGCACGGCCAGAAAATTGAAATTGAGGAAGTCGTGTTCCTAGGCTGGCCCCTCAAAGCCTCTTCCGGACTTCCCTAGACCCCACAGCCTAAACCGGAGTAATGTAGTTGGGGTATATTACACTATAACCATAATAAGGAGCCCCCAGAATAGTATAGGTAATCATTAAGGCCCCGATATTACATATGAACTGGATTCCAAAAGCTTTCCCAGGCTCGAAGCTCCTCATACCCTCGGCTTTACCATAGTCGAAGAGCATCCCATAGAAGCTGCGTGCATCGTCGGGATGCGGCACCGCGAAGGCAGTGGAGCCGTGGGATCCGTTGATGAAGCGGAAGCGATCGGTATAAGCGTTCTCCCTGCAGAAGAAAGGAACATACCTGAAGCTAGAGTCTGGCAAGCACGGATTCCAAGCCCCCCGAAGCTCCCCGTCCAGATGATGCTGGTGATGCTGGTGGGGAAGACGACTGTGATGGTCATGGTGCTGCCGGTGATACTGGTGATGAGGTAACCAGGGGGTCACAGCTTGAAAATCTGGCTACCCGCACAGGTGCCTTTTAGCACTACCATCGCCCCAAAGGAGAGCCCATACACATGAGCTGATGAAATAGAAAGCCACGATCGCAGGTTCCAGAAAGACATCAAACTCCACCATTGAATAAAACTCTGCCCGAAATTCCTGATGGCCCACCATTTTACAAAAGTTGAAGACTCACCGAAACCATGGTATTACCCAACCACCTGACACCCTTCTCAAAGAAGCCCTGCACAAGAACAAGCCGGCCAAAGCCTTAACAGCATCCAAGTTGCAGAAGCCAGGGTTTGCCAAGTGCCTTCCCAAGGATGATCGGTGATGACGAGGATGCAGTGGTACCAATAGCAGTTATAACAGTAGTCGTAGGATTAGCAGTAGCAGCAGCAGTAGCAGTAGCAGTAGCAGTAGCAGTAGCAGTAGCAGCAGCAGCAGCAGCAGCAGTAGCAGTAGCAGTAGCAGGAGCAGGAGCAGGGGCAGGAGCAGGAGCAGGAGCCGTAGGGGTAGGAGTAGGAGTAGGAGTAGGAGTAGGAGGTAGTGGTGGTAGTGGTGGTAGTAGTAGTAGTAGTAGTTGTTGTTGTTGTAGTAGCAGGAGTAGTAGTAGTAGTAGTAGTAGCAGCAGCAGCAGCAGCAGGAGTAGTGGTAGTGGTAGTAGTAGTAGTAGTAGTAGTAGTAGTAGGAGGGGGTAGTAGGTAGTAGGCAGTAGGCAGTAGGTAGTAGGTAGGAGGTAGCAGGTAGCAGGTAGACACAAACTGCGCCTCGAATCTGGCTTGGAATAAAGTGCCGCTTTGCAGTAGTGTTGACGCCAAACACAAAGCCCCAAACCTTCAGAACAGTTCCTGGATTTACAAGTAAACCCTAATACCATGAACCCCTCTACCCTCAACCTCCTGGACCCTGAATACTCTAAACCCCCCATACCCATACCTTAAAAGGAACCCTTATTTTACAGATCCCTTGAAGGAACCCTCACATCCCTCGAAGCACCTTGTGGAGGTCGCCGAGGCTATGGCGAAAGCCACTCTTGCCCAGGACCCAGTCCTTGACCTTTCGGGGCTTTCAGGACTTGGGGCTCTGGGTTTGGGTCGCAGGGTTTCGGGTTTTAGGTTTTGGGCGACTTCGAATCTGGGTTGGGGTTTAGGGTTTAGGGTTTAGGGAATCTGGGTTTGGGGCTGCTAGTTTGTTGGTTTTGGGCTTGAAGTCTGCGGCCAAGGATTCTGGGTTGGGGTTGCGTCCTTTGCAGAGTGGGCCTTCGGGTTTGGGGATGTTTTGGGGTCTGAAGCCAGGGGCTTTGAACCTTTGGGATTGGGACTTGCGGTTCGGCCATAGGGTTGAGGGTTTAGGGTCTAGGGTTTAGGGTTTAGGGTGTAGGCTTCCAAGGTTTGCAGCTTATGGTTCGGCTTTCAGGCACGCTGACACTGCGGCTCCTTTAAGGCTTGGCATTGGGATACTTTCATAAAGTTACTTCTGAAAAATAGGGGTGTTATCTACTGGGTCTGGGATCTAAGGCTTGCTGGGTTCTTGACTGGGGCTGACTGTATGGGCCTTAAGGCTTTTTGAGGGTTACGGTTTACACTTTTTGTACAGCTTCGTGGGTTTGGAGCGTCAGAGCTTGCACAGTTTAGCCTGGGCTCAGGCCTGGCTCTCGGGGTGGGCTTGCTTGACATGCGGGGCGTGAGGTATAGGGGTCAAGGTTTAGGATTTAGGGTTTGGGGTTTTGGGTTTTGGGGTTTAGGGTTTAGGGTTTTGGGGTTCAAGGTTAAGGGTTTAGGGCTTAGCGTCAAGGCATTCAGGACTCGCGGCTTACTAGGTACTAGGGCCTGCAGGGAAGCCGAACAGCTTCCTTTTAGGCTTCGGGCATCTAGGGGCTTTCATCTCACAAACAAGCAAGTTTAGGGGCTTAGGGTTTAACCGTATAACATAGGCAGTATGAGGTTTAGGGGTTTTAGACGAGGCTCAATACAGCGAAGAATTCTCTGCCATGTAGTCAACCGAAGAAACACTTCTATCAAGTATCATGAGCGTTTTACCAAGGACCTGGCGCAGTGCACATAAACAGCCGCATGTCCAGGATACCACCAGTCATCCAGCTGCCATATATGGACGGCCTCTGTTAGAAGAGGCTGCGTGAGGAAAAGGCTGGCGAGGGTTCCTCTGGGTACGGTTTAGGGCTATTTTGGACCTGTATAGTATGAAGGCCGGTCATAAGCCTTCACCCTGAAGCCGTCAACCTACAAACATAAACAGCGAGTATACCCCAGGTCCTAGACACATGCTGTGGCAATACGTGTCCCGAGACGCAAGAAACACAGTCATCAACGTCGTCGTCCGCCTATGCACAACAAGCGTAACAGTCTGGTCACGAATTAGGCTTTGAATGATCTCCGCAAGAATGTGCTGTTAGACGGATCAGGCCATTGCTGACACTCACCCGCGTATTGTACATGCTCAGAACATTATGTACGGAGCCCCGGGTTCAGAGAGACGGTAGTAGCAATGACAGCAAAAATCATAAAGATAAACTTCAGTGAACACAACCCAAAGCAAAGCCTAAGTTAAACCACAAACCCTGAACTTCCTCGACCCCAAAACCCTGAGCCCCAAACCCAATGCCTAATCGAGTCAGGCAGCTCTTCACCTAAACCCTAAACCCTAAACCCTAGACCCTAAACCCCAAACCCTGAACCCCAAACCCTAAACTCTACGCCTCTAGCAACTTGCTCTTGGCCAGGCCATGGGCCACCTGCAGCATGGATCTTTCCCCGCAAGTCCTGGGCGAGGGCTCCTTCTCTGGGCATAAGGATCGTCAGGCTCAGGGTTTAGGGTTGAGGGTGCAAGATTCAGGGTTGAAGTTCTCAGCTTGATTCCGAAACTTGGGGTGAATGGTTTACGTTGTTGTGTTTGGGGGCGGAGCATGAGTGGACCAGGCCTCATGTTCGATGATCTTTCGATGCTTTTTCGATGATGTTTCGAGGGCCTCGAAAAGAGGCTTATTTGAAGGATGCCTTGGGAAACTCGTTGCAAAAATCGTCGAAAAATCTTCGCATTCGAGCTCGGATCTCCGAAGAATTCAGCGCACTCACACACACACACAGACACCTTTTTAGGGATTCAGTACCTTATTTGGGGGTCCTTAGAATAAGGATCCTACTATTTAGGGTACTATATTAGGGTAAGTTTTAGCATTCAACGTCGAGAGGTCATGCGATGACCGACAACCCTCCTCTCCAAGCCCAAATACCTGAGCTTAGTTAGTAGCCTTGCGGCCGGACCTCGACACCCCGCAGCAAACACACGTGCTTATTCAGAACCGTAGCATGGCAAGAATTCCTGATGCCATGCAGTAGCGTTTCAAGCTAAGCTGTCTTGTGCGGTACGTATCCAAACAAGGCTTGGCGTACACTGGAAGAAGCGATTGAAGGGAGCTCTAGTCTTAAATCGCGGTAGACGCAGCCTGGCCAGATGCAACCCTTCCCGAAGATGCGAAAACTGAATTCCGAATTCGAAGTCAGTGGCTTTTCCAGTTTCTTTTAGGAGGCAAAGCACACGAGCTACAAGACAGGAAGAGAGTCTTTCCTCCGCCGCCGGCTTCCTTCCACTGGTCCCCGTAGTAGTAGGCACCGTTGTCTGTCCAGTAGGAAAGATAATTCACCACAGGGTCAGACTGCAAGAAAGGCCGCGAGGTGCCATAGGCGTGTCGAAGAAACGCGCCAAACTTGTCCATGGCCCTCGCCATCTTAGGGCTTGGGGTCTAGAGTCGAGGATTCAGGGTTTAGAGTTTGGGCTTGTGCTACCCTAAACCCTGAACCCTAAAACCTAAAACCTAAAACCTAAACCTAAACCCTAAACCCTAAAACCTAAAACCCTAAACCCTAAAACCTAAAACCAAAACCCTGAACCCTAAACCCTAAACCCTAAAACCTAAAACCTAAAACCAAAACCCTGAACCCTAAACCCTAAACCCTAAACCCTAAAACCTAAACCCTAAACCCTAAAACCTAAAACCCTAAACCCCAAAACCTAAATAAGTGTTCCTTGACACTGAAGCTTGCATCCTACGGAAGCCCGGCTGTCCTTCGACCAAAGAGTGCCTCTCCAAACCCTCGTTCCCGAGGCTCCCTCAATCCCCCGAAGAGTCTGTTAAGATCAGGGTTTAGGGTTTAGGGTTTAGGGTTTGGGGTTTCGGGTTTAGGGTTCAGGGTTTAGGGTTTAGGATTTAGGCTGGGGAGCTGGGTTTCGGGATCTTTGCGCGAGTCAGAGGTATATCTCGTCCTACAAAACACCATCCTGCTCAGTGTCTTGCGTGTTTCGGAGCACTTGGAGGATCGTGGGACAGAGTAAGTATGGCTCTAAGTATCTTATGGGGCTTATAGATAGTTATAGGTATAGTAGGTATTAAATACCCCAATAATATCCCTATAGTTAACAGGTCCCCAGGATTCCTTTAAGTACTAGTATACCCGACCGCCTTCTGGCCGAGACTCTTCAATCCGAAGCCTACAAAACCCTATAGTCAATCCCTAAAGGTTGGAATCCGGATTAAGGACAAATAGTGCCGGGATTCCCCACTACATTACTCTTAAGGATTGAGGCTATTGGGTTTCCAACTTTTGGGCTTCTACTGTACGCCGAAGCCCTGCAGGGCCCCTAAACCCTCCCTGGATGCGCACTTCCCCCGCATTTCCTTGTGATGCCAACATCTGCAACCAGGAGCGTGCGATGGGTGAATCCAGGGGGCACGGCCGTGACCTCGCTGGACACGCCCAGATCCCAACTGCCCCGCGAAGCATCATAGAAATGCCTTCGGCCCAGCTTAATCGGGGGGCTTGGGGTGTGGAGATGGGCGGGGCTTCATGGTGACACGGCGCGCAGGCTCAGGCAACATGAAGCCACAGGAAACCCAAAAGAATGCCGAGCTGCACCGAGTGTTTGAAGTTGTCCATCGGGGAGACGACAAGAGTCGTCCGGCTTGTATCGAAGAGGGCCACCGGCCCCGACAAAAGGCCGTTCAACCGCGAAGTCACATTCCGCCCGTGCAGCGCCTTTACCTGCAGGCCCGTCTGACCCAAACCACAAGCATCTTGGTTTAGTTGCCAAGCCTTCGGGTGTATGAACCCTTTAACCCGAAGACCTCTGGGCGGATTATTACAGCAACACTCGAACATAAACCCTAAAACCCTCAAAAACACCTATAGCCCTAAAAAGCCTCACATATCCCTAAAACCCTCATATCCTGAACCCTAAGCCCTAAAACCCTAACATATCCTAAACCCTCATATCCTGAACCCTAAACCCTAAAAAACCCTCAACCCTAAACCCTAAACCCTAAACCCTCAACCCTAAACCCTAACCCGAAAGCAAAGCCCAGGCACCATGACCCCTTCCCAGAGAAGGAAGCCCAGGCTCTCCAAGCGGCCGGATCTCAGGGAGGGGAAATTCAAGATCCTCCGGCTCTGAAAAAAAAAAGCTTGGGGTTTAGGGGTTTTAGGGGTTGTAGGGGTTTTGGGGCTTTTAAGGGTTTAGGGTTTAGGGTTGAGGGTTTAGGGTTTACGGTTTAGGGTCTAGGGGTTTAGGGTTCAGGGTTTAGGGGGCTTTTGGGGTTTTAGGGGGGTTCAGGGGTTCAGGGTTTTAGGGGTCTTGGGGTTAAGGGCACATTGTAAATACATGTACATACCATTGCTCCATTAAAAAAACCTTGAAAGCTTGGGGGCTTTAGCCCTAAACCCCAAATCCTAAACCCTAAACGCTGAGCCCTGAACCCTAAACCCTAAAAGCCCCAAGCCTAAAGAAGAGCTCAGGGTCCTAAGCCCTAAACCCAAAGCCCGAAACCCAAAGGCCCAAGCCCTAAACCCTAAACCCAAAGCCCTAAGCCCTAAGCCCTAAACCCAAAGCCCCAAAGCCCTAAACCCAAAGCCCCAAGCCCTAAACCGAGCTCAGGGTCGGTGGATAGTTGCCTGCATTCAACTCATGACCAGCCTCAGGGAGCCGAGGATTCGATGCGTTGGTGTTGGCAGCTCCCGAATCCAGCTCCTTGTAGGGGTCGAAGGGTGTGGAGTTTTAGGGGGGTTTTAGGGCTTTAAGGGTTTGGGGTTTAGGGGTTGAGGGTTTTGGGTTTTAAGGGTTTAGGGGTTTAGGGGTTTAGGGCTTAGGGTTTTAGGGTTTAGGGTGTTAAGGTTTAGGGGTTTAGGGCTTTTGGGGTGCAGGGTCTAGGGTTCAGGGCAACTCCTGGATAAAGACCACCGCGCAGCTCCGGGTGTAAGTCTTCAGGGAAGTGTGAAAGAGGACATCTTGCGAAGGCGATCGGAGTGCCCAAGAAATGTTGATGCAATCGAAGCTACCTAGATGGTCCTCCCCCTTGTACCGTTCCATGGCCCTTCGCCACATCGATGCCGACGTATGCCATGCCCCGTCTGCAAACAGTCGCAGCGGCGAGCTTTCTAGCCAGGTGCTTCCAGCTAGTCGAACGGCGAAAGAGGCATCGTCCTGGAGGATTAAAGCGCATTACACAAAAACCAGGTAGAATAAAAAACAATCGTGCCATTACTGTAATACAGGGGCCTTAATAACGGAATACCGTTTTGGGGTACATTGTACTATAATCATAACAAGGACCCCCCAGAATAATATAGACAAGTAATACGGCCCCTTTATTACATGCCTTTTAGCATCATAATTTATAATGAGGAACCCCCAGAATAATATAGGCCTATATTACATGCCCTTTAGCATCATGACTGCACCTCGCCTTCAGTGAAACAGCAAGGCCACAGGCGGCTTCATGGTCCAGAGCCGAAGGCACGAAAGCCTGCTCTTACTTTGGGGTTTGGGGTTTAGGGTTCAGGGTTCAGAGTTCAGGGTTTAGGGTTTTAGGGTTTAGGCTTTGGGGTTTAGGGCCTAGGGTTTAGTTAAATCCATGAAAGCCCACTATATGGGTCCTTTAAGGGTTTCCAAAAACAATCCATAAGGGCTTAGGGTTGCTTTTTACGGGTTTAGGGTTTAGGTCCTTTACTTCCCCAACAAGCCAGAGAAATGAAAGGTTAAGCTTTCAGATTACTCCTAAATTATCAGAACCCAAAAAGTTTAAAAGGTTGGGTATTGGGGAACTAAGTTTAAGGGTTTCCAAAACATAAACCCATAAGGGTTTCTATATGGGCGCTTTCAACCCTGGGCGAACATTACCTTGTTAGTGAATCACACAAGTACTTAAGGGCAACCTAACCCTAACCCCAAACCGTAAACCCTAAGCCCAAACCATGTACCCGAACCCTAAACCCTAAACCCTAAATCCTGTAGCACCCCAGAGGTTGAGGGTAGTAAAGTCCAAATTCCCACGGTTTACCTAAGTTATCCTTTTCGAACCTGGGGCCTTGTTGGCCTTTAGGGTTTAGGGTTTTGGGGTTTAGGGTTTAGGGTTTTTACATTCTTGTTATCAGAAGAACAAATAAGAATTGAATATGATCACTTTTAATATAGCCCCAACAGGGAAGCAGGAAACCCTTAAAGTAAAGCCCAGAAGTTGGCAACCGGATTAAGGACAAATAGTGCTGAGATTCCCTATACACTTCTCTTAAGGACCTGGGGCTCTTGGGTTTCCAATTTTTGGGCTTCTACTATAAACCCTAAACCCTAAACCCCCCCCCTAAACCCTAAACCCTCAACCCTAAACCCCCTAAAGTTGTTAAAGGACTTGCATGAACCCTTTCCTCGAATACAGTTACGGGAAAAACGCAGGGCTCAGGGGTTCAGGATTTTAGACTCTTGCACCCGAACCGTAAAGGGTCGAGCATGCACCCAGGAGTTACTTAAGAACCACGAAATTATTGAGCAGGACCAGAACTGAACGAAGCAAGCTCTGTAAAAGTGCCACTTAGATGGTATAATCTAGAGGCCTAGATAATTAACCTGCTTGTTCTTTAGGGTTCCTTACCACATTTATTCTGCATAAAGGAGCCGGAAGCCCCATTCAAATAATTATGGCCCCGAAAAGTCTTACCTTCTTGACACGAAACTGTCTGCAAGTTGGCTTAGGGGCTGAGTACCCTAGCCAAAAAAAGGTTAACCTTTTAAATTATAGTAGGATACTATAAGCCCCAACAAGGTTAAAGGTTACGTACTCAGCCCCTAAGTTAACCCACCGGCCTGCTTGGCAAAGCGATGCTTTGACACTGCAAGAAATCCCAGAGAACCCAATACCCCTTAATTAAGGAATATGCCTTAAGTTATAGGGGCCTTAGTATTATGGTTTAAGGTATATTCTTTAATTAAGGGGTCTTGGAAAAGCGTCTGGTATGAGGCTGACATCAGCCAGGGTTTAGGGCTTAGGATTTCGGGGTTTGGGGGTTCGGACAGCCCAGAAGCAGGATAAGCGCCTACTATGAGATTCGGTTGGGGAGAGTGTTTTGGTACAACTTTGGAACTACCTGCACCCTAAAGAACCTACCTTATTTAGGGTTCCTTCTTATGACTTCTTTCTATACGTCCTATAACAGGTAGGCTGTTTAGGGGTTAAGGTACACAAAGACCCAAAGCCGCATCAAACACAATTTGGACAACGTAGACATACAGTTGATGATATAAATCCTGCATTACCTTAAGGACCCCAAACTATGGGAATTATGGCATATTCCTCATTATGGGTAATGCAGGATTTTTATCATCAGCCATAGCGTTTCCATCCATCGCCGCCTTGCCCGTGACCCTGTCCACGGCGTACGCCAAGCCTTCAGGGTTTAGGGTTTAGGGTTTCGGGTTCAGGGTTTAGGGTTTAGGGTTTAGGGCTTTAGCGTTTAGGATTTNNTTTAGGGTTTAGGGTTGGCAGAGATAAGTTTAAGATTTACCAGAAGCTCTGAGCCCGAGACGCATGTCGAAAAACCTGGTCTGTTCTGCTGGAACGCAGTTAGACAGACTGTTCAAAGCTCCCTGAAAAGCCCTTAACCCTAAAATCCCTGAAAACCTAAGAACCCAGTACACAAAAGCCAAACTGCGGTGCAAAATTGAGAAGCTTTTGCCCCAACAGTTCTTTGGCAAATCCTGACAAGCCCTGCACATCCTCCATTTAAAACATTGAACAACCGCTCCTCAACAGCCGGAAACCAGGCTTAGGGTTCAGGGTTTAG